TCTTTCCAAAGTCCAGTTCTAGTCAGCAACTTAATTCTATCAAGCAGGAACATTAGCAAAGGGAAAAACAGCTGCTGATGCTGCTATCTTCATCTCCCTGTCTTTCCCAAGTTTCTGCTTTGCCTCCAGTGTAAGCCAGTAATTAATACAGCCTAATGTAGTGTTGGCAGGTGCCTGCAGCTGGAATATCAGGGAGTGCTCTCATACTGCAGCTGGGCCAGCGTGCAGCCTCCTGGGGAAGTTCCTGTAGTCACATCACTACATACCTTGAATTTTGGCAGTAAATCTTTTGAATCTACTCGCTGCACAGACTTACTGGTTAGTCTGATTTTGTAACCAGAGCAATGATGTTCAACAACTCAAACAACATTTCTCTCTGACAATGTGTGCACCCCACAATGGTTTTCTTACAAAGGTTCAGCCTCCCCATGGTGAATTTAAGCTTAGTGGTAACTGGCTTAATTTTCTTACACATTTTTTTAGATATCTTAGTAGTACTCCACAGACTTGTGAAAAACCACAGACTGGAAACCACATGGAGAGTATTTGGGTAGGTTCAGAGCTTTCCTTCCATTGCTGTATCTCTGTCTGCTCCGAGAGCCTGAATCAGGTCATTCCTACAGAGAGGCTTGGGATTTTCTGCTGACTGGATTCATGGCTGTACTTCAGCTCTGTGTTTTGGGACTGGTGAATCTATTGGAAAAGCTGAAGAGAGTGAGAGAAAAGGTACAAACCAAATCAAACACTACTGAGATCATTTTCTGCCCGCAACATGTAGTGAAAATACAGGAATGCGTCTGCATTTCATGTCTGACGTGGAGTGAAGAAGGAACACCCCAGTGACAGCTGCACTGCTTCAGTCAGCCCATGTTTGGACACTCCCTGCTCTTTTAACTAGCAACTTAGAGACACCCAGCACTGAAAAAAAATCTGGAATTTGATCATTTTCTGCAGCCTAAAATGTGATGATTTCCTTCATGGTGCTAATGCACCTGTGGCCACTGTACATATTCTATACATATGTCTTCTTATGACTGTCTTGGTCTTTCATTTGATGTTCACACCAGTGCCCCCCAAGGGACCCTGTGGCACCCACCCGTGTGTGACCCTCGTGGCCTCTGACCCAGGGCATGTGGAGGTCTTTTTGGGGCCATCAGGGCCACACAGCAGATAATCAGCTAATTGCTTCTGCCACCTGCAGCTCTCAGAACATCCTACGTGAGCCTCACGTGTTAGGCTGAGTGAGGACAGAGGTGTTTCCATGCTCCCCTGGAGCACAACCACCCATGAGAGGAACCCAGCAGCTCCCAGCCACAGAACATCAGTGGTGTTTGCTGTTCCAAATGCGTCTGTGCCCTCAGCTGAGACAGGGGAAGTACAATGTTGTCTCTGGAACATTGTGTTCTGTGCCACCAAGAAGAGTCTTCACCAAACCATCAAATCTATTTATTTTTCTGTCATCAGCACTAGAGTTGCTCACTGCCTGAAGGTGGAGCGTTCATAAAGCTTTACACATCTTGGGGCAGAGTTCTCCAGGTTCCACAGGAAGGCAAGGAGGCAGTTTGTGCACTGAACCTCACAGGAGGAGATCTGTGGGTTTCTGGTCCGGCACAGCATGGTCTGTCCCTCAGGGTGGAGATTCACTGTGCACAGCTGCAAAAGACATGGTCAAGTCGTCGTCACTGCACTACTTTGCATGAAATAGCACAAAATACTTGGAAAGATAAAATTCCTCCTTATTAACTTAATTCAGCAACTTACTTCTGATGCTGGAAACTGTGTATTTGTTTGGGAGTAAAAGACTTTGGTCTTGATTGAAAAGGGCACATAGATGCCCCAAGGTAGGACGTCACAGCAATTATTCAGAAGCTTGAAATAAAACATGTTCCAAAGTGCTCTGCTGGATCATGGCCTGTCTTGCAAAAAAGATAAAACTGAAAATAACTGGAAGATGGGACCTAGGCCCTCAGGTCATGGCTAAGAGAAGTTTTCTGAATTATTACTCATTTTCTCTGTTTAAAAGCAGCATCAGTATAGCACAGATGTGTTCGACATGGAAACTTTTAATCTGCTAATTGGCACAGTGTCTCTGGTGCTCTGAGTCCATCTGCTGTGATGAGAGCTGATGAATTTAGTGTGAGATACCAAAAATACCTGATATTTCTGTTCGTACAGGTGAGATGGACATTGTGAAATAAACACCCTAGAAACGTGTGTGTGTGCAGAGCACCTGTGCTGATTTCAGCCCTTCTGACAGCTCTGAAGCAGAATTTGTCCTGAAACTGTGACACAGAAGTGTCAGTGAGGAGCTCAGAACACAAAATACAAAGAGGCTGAGAAAAACAATAAAGACAATTTTTAAAGGAACAAAATAAACACAAACAAAATAAACTAAAAAAACCCCATTCCTTTGCCAAATGTGACTGATTCTGATCTGGAATGTGATCAGCTTATCTCTGCCCAGGTTTGCACTGCTCCCCATCAATGTGCTCTGGTGTTACGTGGTGGTAAGCTGAAGTCAGGCTCTGCTGCTGAGTGGAGTTCAGTTTATCAGTGTCCCCACAACGGGTGGATGCCACTCAGAGCACAGGTGACAAACTGCCTCGCTGGCTTCAGGCACTGTGCTCAGCACTGTGCTTGGCCACACCACAAGTGCTGTGTTCAGTTTTGGGCCCCTCACTTTAAAAAGGACATTGAGGTGCTGGAGTGAGTCCAGAGAAGGCCAATGAGGCTCATAAAAGGTCTACAGCGTATGAGGAAGGGCTGAGGGAGTTGGGGTTGGTTAGCCTTGAGAAGACACTCAGGGATGACTTTATGGCTCTCTCCAACTCCCTGACAGGGGTTGGAGAGAGGTGGGGGATGTCTTTCCTGCCATGGCTGCAGGGAGAGGACTAGAGGGAATGGCCTTGAGCTGAGGCAGGGGAGAATCAGAGAATCTGTGCTTTGAAAATACTGGCATATGAAAATGTGTGTAAATAAAATCACAATTTTGATTGTCATGATATCAAATGAATTGTTGTTCTGTTGTGGACAGTGCAGCAGCTCAAACAGCTGCCTCTGCTGCAGGCAGCCCTCCTTCTATCCAACCTAAACCAGGGGAGGTTTAGGTTGGAGATTAGGAGGAATTTCTTCACAGAAACGATGATTAGACACTGGACTGGACTGCCCAGGGAGGTGATGGGTCACTGTGCCTCAAGATGAGACTGGATGTGACACTTAGTGCCATGATCTGGTAACCACAGTAGGGTTGGACTTGATGATCTTTGAGGTCTCTTCCAACCAGGTTGATTCTATGATTCTCTGCAGGGGATGTGGTATTAGTATGTACCACTGGATTGGCAGCAAAGCTTCAGCATCCGAAACAAACTGAGGGTCTGCTCATGGGGGAGTTCCACACACACAATGACAACAGATCTAGTCCCAAAAAATCACAGAAAGGTTTGGATTGGAAGGATCTTAAGGATCATCCAGTTCCAACCCTTGCCATAGACAGAATGCCTTCCCTGTCCTTGCCATAGACAGAATGCCTTCCACTAGCCCAGGTTGCTTCAAGCCCCATCCAGCCAGGTATTGAACACTTCCAGGGATGGGTCAGCCACAGGTTCTCCTGTGTTGGTTGTGGTATGCAGAGATTGGGCAAGATCCAAGAACATCTAATTTCTCTAGCATGGCTAGAGAAATTGGCATGGCTGTGCAATAACCTCAGCTCTGAAGTTCAACCTGCAGCACACCTCACTGCAGGGACACCAGGGTGACAGTGCTGGAGCTGTCCAGGGCTTCTTCTGCCTTGCAGTCCTCCACATCATGTTATTCCCTGCTCCCCACTGCCAGCTGACAGGTGGGCTCCTCTCACACACCTTTTGCTGCAATATGCAGGTGGGCAAGGCCACCTGGGGTTATTAATCTCCATAATACAGGCAAAACCAGCAAACCAGGACACCTGAGGGACGATCTTGCATGACAAGCACAGCACCAGCAGAGAGGGGTTTTGGGAAGCAGCACTCCCAATCTCTCTGTGCCAGAGTCATGAATGCCTTTTGGGGCAGGTCAGGCTGGAGGAGAAAGGAGCTCAGTGTGGCTGCGTAAAGAAGTGTCTCATGAAATAGAGGAAAACATGAAGACAAGTGAGGTAGAAAAGTAATTCCTGAGTACCAAAAAAATCTCTCAGGTTCCTCGTGTTTCCAGCCTGCCTCAAAAGGCTGGAGCTGGGTGAGGGAATCCTCCATGCTAAGGCAAATGGAAACTGGTGGATGAGATGTATTGAATGTTCCACGTTACCACCCTGGGACTGGTCCCTGTGTCCCCCTCTGACACCTCAGAGGGGCTCAGGGGTGTGGGGAACAGCTCTGCACCTGTCTGCAGCACACGGGAGAGGAACTGGATGTGTCCCTGTCCCAGGGACGGCGGAAGGCAGAAACAGGCACGAGCAGAACAACCCTGGAGAACAGAATTCCTCGCTGCCTGCCAGAGGGGAGCAGCACACGTGGAGGAAACAGCAGTCTGCCTGCAGCTCTGCACAGCCAACCCGATCTAAGGATTCAGGCAAGTCCTAGACTAACCATGATGCTAATTAGCCAGTTTTGGTGGCTTTTATGGGATGCATTTATATGTCAATTTACAAAAAGGGTTGGGGTTTTTTTTATGTGTTGCAAGTTACAGTGCCCAGCGAGGGTTTGTTGTACTTAGGTTTTGCAAAATGAAAAATCCAACCATTTTCCTTTTCTCCTGTCATTTATCCAACATTA